ACTGCCTTCACTGCCTTGTGTTCCCTGGCTACAGTAGGGAGCTCAGATTGACCTGTCCCCCAAGGAGCCCTGGGACATGTCCCATGGCTCCGTGCTGCCTGGGATCTGCCTGCAGGTCCATCACTGCTGCTTCTGCAAAAGGGGGTCCTGTGCCCCCCTTCATGAGGCTCTCTGTGTCTGTGCCAGGGGCAGCGGAGAAGCCGTACATGGTGGAGGAGGCCGTGTCCTACAATGAGCTGGATTACATCTCGGTGAGCCCAGCCGGGGTGGGTGGCCAGGGGGAGCTGGAGGCGAGTGGGGGGTCACTTCTCACCATCTGAGGAGTGAAGGTGCCAGGAGCATCACAGTGGGGTGTGTTTGTGTGCATGGGGAGTGTTCTGGGTAGTGGGCAGAGACTGGGAGAGTTGGAAGTGATGCCTCCTCCCATGCCACCTCTRTGGGTGCCCACCTTGCTTTTCCTGGGCAGTGGAGTGACCACTGACCCTTTCCCTGGGGCCAGAAGCCATGGTCAGCCCTGGTGTGCTGCCCCTGTGCCTGGCTTCCCTAACCCTTGCTGTGTGGCACAGGTTGGGCTAGATCAGCAGACGGTGACCCTGGTGTGCACCAACCGGAGGAAGCAGTTCCTGCTTGACACCGCTGACGTGGCTCTCACTGAGTGAGTGGGGATCCAGAGCACGGAACTCTGGAATTCTTGGACTAGGGAATATGGGAGACTCCCAAGACAGCCCTTCAAGACAGTCCTGCCACCAGTGAGGGGGTTGGTTCGATGCCACTGGCTGAACCCAGCAGGCAGCTGGAAATGCCTCAGGCATGGATATGCCCARAGTTCCCTGGATAAACACAGCAGTTACCCCATCCCTCAGTCTGAGCCTTGGGGACCTGGGCAGTGCAGACCACGTGTCCCTTGTGTCACTCGGGATGTGTAGGGATGAGTTCTTCAGTTCCAAGGCATGTCCCCAGATCTCTGTACTGTGAACTCAGGGAGGGGACCTTCAGCTCATGCTGGGATGAGCTTCCACCTCTCAGTGTCACCCATCTCCTTTCTGCAGTTCAGACTTTGCAACCTCCCATCACCTTTGGTCTTTAGGCTAACTTTGTGACTCTTTGCTCTGGAARACCAGAGGCCCATGGTTAAGGGAGCCCCTTGGGCAGCAGAGTGTGTAAGGAAGATGAGGGGCTGTTTGCCCCAGCCTTGTCAGAGATCTCTGCCTCCCTCTCAGGTTCTTCCTGGTCTCCTTGAAGTCAGCCATGATCAAAGGGTGCCGGGAGCCCCCATATCCCAGTATCCTCACRGATGCCACCATGGAGAAACTGGCGCTTGCCAAGTTTGTGGCGCAGGAGTCCAAGTGTGAGGTGAGTTTGGATATTGCCACCATCACTGCAGGTGCCGAAGGCTCGGGGGAGACTCCTTGACCTCTCCTGGTTCTCACAGGCCTGTGAYGTGGTTGTGCGTTTCTACGGCCTCGTTCACTGGGAAGACCCCATGGATGAGGCGCTGGGATCCGCCAGCAACAGCTACTCTACAGAAAACACGGTCACCAAGGATGGCATCCTGCACTACAAGGCAGGCACCTCCTACCTGGGCAAGGAGCAGTGGAAGCCCTGCTTTGTGGTGCTCAGGTAGGCACTGGGGCTGGGGCCAGGCAGGGCTCTTGGGAGGAGGTGCTGGGAGCAGTTTGCTGCATGGGAACTGTGTGAGAGGTGGAGAGGACTCATCTCAGSACCTAAAGTGGCCAAGACATGGGTTTGGTGGCTAAAGCCACCAGTTGTGGGTGGCCAGCAGCGGGAATGTGACCCCACAAGGCTGCTTGGGTGGAGGGCYGGACAGGGCTGGCTGTGGGACCAAAAGCAGGGGATACCAGAGCTGAGCTGATTCTGGTTGCCCCCTCTCTCCTCCGCAACGGTAGCAACGGGATCTTGTACCAGTACCCGGATCGCACGGATGTTACCCCTCTGCTCTCCATCAACATGGGGTAAGCAGCTGGTGGGACATGGCACCCAAACTCTGTGGGGATCTGGGGTGCAGCAACTATTTGGGATGTCCAGGGAGGGGTTCTGGGCTCCATCATGACCTCCTCCATGCCACAGAAATCCCCACTAATCCTGCCCGGGGCCAGGTGTCCGGTTGCTTTTGCTTCAGTGCRGGTCACTGGAGATGGGCTCATTTCCTTCCTTGGGTGGAGCCTTGGCCTCTGAAGAGTGAATAACCCCTCCCAGAGCCATGCTGGGAGCCCACCATCTACTCTGGCTCTCCCGCAATGTGCAGAGCCTGGAGATGGTCCTTGGAGCAATCCCAGGGGATGTCACCAATGGGAAATGAGTGTTTGTTGGGAAGAGGGGTGARGTGCTGCCCAGGGAGGGCAGTCGGAGGCTGCTGCAGACTCGTGCTGGCCCATGCATCGCACTCATSTCCACCCTCCCCCCTCTCTCCCAGCGGCGAGCAGTGCGGGGGATGCCGGCGCTCCAATACCACCGACCGACCCCACTCCTTCCAGGTGATCCTGACCGACCGGCCCTCCCTGGAGCTGAGCACCGAGAACGAGGAGGACATGGCAGACTGGATGCAGTACTTGTGCCAAGCTGTCTCCAAAGGGGTGAGCCAGGGACAGGCCCCAAGCGTGGGTGCTTCACCCCCCTCTTTCCCCAGAGCCCCTCTGGAACAGGAATGTCTGGCAGGATGGAGCAGCTTTATCCTGAGCCAGGAGGGTTTCCCCACTGGGCACCCTGTGGAGATGGGTCCATCATGCCAGATTTTACCCCCACCGTTCCCCACCCCTCACAGGTGATCCCCCAGGGTGTTGCCCCGACCCCGTGCATTCCCTGCTGCCTCGTGCTGACCAACGAGAAGGCCTTCACATGCCATGAGGACTGTCAGACCAGCTTCTTCCGCTCGCTGGGCACAGTGGAGCTGACGGACATCACTGCAGTCTCCACAGAGGCTGGCAAGGAGTACTGTATCCTGGTGAGAGCAGGGCTGCGGGGCCGCCAGCCTGGGGCTGGGTGAGCACCCAGTGCTGACACCTGGCTTCTCTCCTGGTGTTTAGGAGTTTGCTCAGGACAGCAAGGAGTTCCTGCCCCCCTGGGTTCTCTATTTTAGTTGCACTACGGAACTGGAGAGGTTCTTGTCGGCTCTGAACGTTGCGTGGAGGAACATCTACCAGGTGGGTGTGTGGGGTTGCCTGACACCCTCATTGGGTGAGGGAGGGCAAAGGGGTGGATTTTTTGTGAGGTGATCCCAGCCTTCCCACAACAGGCAGGAGAGACACAGAACTCCTCCGGGTCTATATAACCATAGGATGTGGGATTTGGAGCCTGGCAAGACAAGTCACAAGCATGAAGTGCTGGCAAGGGGAGTGGGAGGAACCTGGCTCAGTCCCTCTGTCACCAAATTCATGACATGGGTGACTTTCCCGTGTGGCTTCGAGGTGGTTTCACAGCGAGAGGGAGAAGTGAGTGTTATCTGTTCCCCTCCTGACTGCCCCTGCCCATTTCAGGTCGATCTCCAGCACAAGGCCATTCTGGATGCTGCTGTGAAGAAGAAATGCGAGGATGCCCTGAGCCTCATTGACAGCGCCTGGCAGCGCAGCGACAGCCTGTGCCGGGGACGGGCCGAGCGGGACCCCTGGTGTTAACCCTGGCCAGGGGAGGACAGCTCCTGGGGGCTCYGTTTTGGGGATCAGGGCCTGTGTCTGGCCAGCTGGCACCCCCAGCCCTCCTGCCATCACTCGGTCCTCACCAGGGCTGTGCCTGCAGCGTGGACCCCACGCTCTCTGCCGAGGTGGGGACATCCATCGCCTTTTGGGGAGCAACCGGACGCTTCACCACCTGCGCCTTCCTCCTCGTCCAGCTGCCACGGGGCAAATAATTTGCCTTTCACAGAATAATATCCCATTAGTAGTGAGGGAGAGGGTGGGAGCGGGGTGGGCTGTGACGAGCACCCTATTGTGGTGGGGAGCAGGACTGAGGCCTTGTTAATTTTTGAACAGGGTCGGGGTGCAGAGTGGTGAGGCGGGAACCCTGAATCGCTACCGTGCATGTTTTGTCCTCAAACAATCACTGAGGCCGCCACCGCTCCACCTCTTTCTCCTAGAGAGCTCGCCTGGGCCTCCAGATACCACTGAACCACTCAGCCTGTCCAGGAGATTTGAGGTTAAGGAAGAAGGAATGGGGCCAAAAATTTGGCTTTGAACATGGTTTTAGGAGATCTCAGCAGCCGTTTTGTGGTTTGGACTCTGGCCCTATGCATGGGAGGAGAAGAGATGGAGTCCCACGTTCTTCCTGTGTCCTGAGGGATGGTGTCATGTGGCTGCCACCAACCACGTCCCCGTCTCTTTGGCTCACTGCATCTGAGGCCAGTGAGGACCTGTCGCTGCTTGGGCTCCACAATGAGCACTTTGGGGCACAACCCCAGCTTTTAAATATTAATAATAATAATAATAATCTGGAGACCTTCTCATGTAATATATGTTCACGGGGCCTTTTCTTGGGAGGAAACGTACGTGACTGAATGTATATGTACATACATCTGCTTCTGTTCCCCCCTCCCCAAATAAATAGCCCTTGGTAACTCAGCCTTGGCCCTGTGCCAGATTCCAGCACCAGGGCATGTTGCTTCTCCTGCTGTCACTCTGGAGCCTGCAGGAGGCTCTGGAGCAGGGACAAGGGGATATTTGGATGAAARGACACTGGAGGAAGTTTGCTCCAGCTCCTCACTGAACCCCAGCAGCATTAACCTGGCAGTAGCACATGTTTGTGGCTTCAACTGGGAATTACCCATCAGGACTCAGAGTCTGGATGTTTTGTCCTTGGTTGTCCCTGGATCCAGGAGATCTTCCCAATCTAGACAAGAAAGAAACAGCCATAGGACCAGCTCCCAGTATCACCCACTGTCCCCATTTGGGACAGTGCTTTTTGGGATGAAAAGGAGGGTGGTTGGGGAATATCGGGAATGGGGCAGSCACTGGCAGGGGTAGGATATCGGGGACAAGACAGCCACTGGCGGGGGAGAAGTTTGGGATATGGGGGGCGGTTCACATCTGCTCCCCCTCAGTAACCACCGAAGTGCCTCGGCCATGGGGTAAATCGGATCCTAGGGGGTGTCTGCGCAGCCTTAAGGGCAGGAATCCACGGCGGGGGACGGGACATCGGCATCTCCCACCCCCCGCAGCATTTTCYCACTGGAAGCTCCAATTTCAAAGCACCGGGAGAGGCGGGCGAGACCCCCCGCAAGCCCCCGCGCACGGCGGCCRCAAGCGCAGCGAGCTGAGCAGTCCGCATCCTTCTCCCCAGGCCGGCTGGGGCGGGGGGTTTACTGCGTGTGCCCCGCAAAGCTCCTCTCCCTCTCTGTTTCTGTTTCAATTTTATCCCGCCTTTTTTTTTGTGCCTCCTTTTCCCTATTTGCGCCGGGGCAGCACCATCACGTGAGGCGGGCCGGGCTGGACGCGGCTCCTTGGGGCGCGCCGGTGCCGGGGGGCGCCGGACACGCACCCTGAGCCCGACCTTTGCCCCACATCCCTGCCCCAAATTGGGGACTGGATCGGGGCGTGTGTTGGTTTGCAGGAGGCGGCGCTGGCTCACTCTCGCTCCCCCCGGATTTTTTTCCCTGCGGTTGTTGGGGGTTGGGGGAGGTGGAGCCTGGGGCCGCCCCCGTGGGCAGGTGCCGGATGGCGGCGGGAGCCCTGACCCCCGGCACTTCCAACTCGGCGCAGGAATTCCCGGGCTCCCCCGCCAACAGCCCCCCGGCCGGAGGGGTGCCCCCGGCCATCGACCTGGTGCTGGGAGCCACGGCCGGCTGCTTGGCCTGCTTCCTCACCAACCCGCTGGAGGTGGTGAAGACGCGGCTGCAGCTGCAGGGCGAGCTGCAGCCCCCGGGCACGTACCCGCGGCCCTACCGCGGGGTGCTGCGGGCGGCCGTGGCCGTGTGCCGGGCGGACGGGCTCTGGGGTCTGCAGAAAGGGCTGGCGGCCGGGCTGCTCTACCAGGGGCTCATGAACGGCGTCCGTTTCTACTGCTACTCCCACGCCGAGGACGCTGGCTGGACCGAGTATCCCGGCGGGACCGTGGCCGCTGGGGCCTTGGCCGGGGCGGTGGGAGCCATTGTGGGCAGCCCCGCGTACCTGGTGAGTGCTGCTCCGCTCCAAAAGCCGGGGAGGGTCTGTTTTGGGACTCCCCCCAAAAGGTTCGGCATCTTGTCTGCGYCCTATAAACACTGCMTTGGTGCATTCYCTCKCCCYCTGCTTCGCTTTACCCCCCAAAATRTGTGATTGCTCTGCATGCTCTCCCCCTGCTTTCTCCCACAGATCCCCTCAGAAAGCCAGCAGAGAACTCCCCCATAAGGAAATGATCCCAAAAGAAATTGCTGGGGTTTCCCCCTCAAATAGTAGAGGGTCTCCCCAGATTTTTGAGGTTGTAGAGCCCCCAGGGATGGGTGTTTGCAGGGTCTCTGCCCTGGGTGAGAGGGGTAAAAGAAACCRAGTTCAAAGGCTGGAGTTGCCACTTGGCTGCTTATCTGTGTCCCCCACATCTGCTGGAGGGGCTGAAACTTTCCCTCAAAATCTTCGGAGGAGAAGATGGGGGGACTGTAGCTGGTCCCAGTGGGGGCATCAGGGGGTTTTGTCACCTGGCATTGTCCCTCCCAAGGTCAAGACCCACCTCCAAGCCCAGACACTTTCAGCCATGGCCGTGGGCCACCAGCACAACCATGAGGTGAGTGGGGACATGAGGTGAGAGSGTTGGGATGGGGGGGTTTGGCGGCACCTTGTCCATGCACACTCTAGGACCTAGTGGGGACGGTGCTATTTTAGTCAGCAGGAATTTAAAGCTGTTGTTTGGCCACTTGGCCCCGTAACGATTCTATAAATAACAGAGTGAGAACAGAGGGGGTGTGACAGGCACGTGGGGCTGTGACACCGAATCGGAGAATCCAGACCCCCTGAGGTCTCTCCGAAGCCAATAGTGGCTTTGTGTCACCAATGACCAACAGGGGTGGGAAATTTTGGCCAGGTGGGACATACCATTCCCATGTTTCCCAATTTGCTCTCTTCCCCAGAGCATCTCTGGTGCTTTCAAGAGCATCTACCAGCAGCACGGGGTGGYGGGGCTGTGGCGGGGGGTGACGGGCGCCGTGCCCCGCGTGGCCGTGGGCTCTGCTGTGCAGCTCGCCACCTTCGCCTCTGCCAAGGACTGGGTCTGTGAGCACCAGGTGAGCAGGAAATGTGCCGGGTCCAGCTGCCGGCAGCCCCGTGCTCCCCTTCATTGCTGGGAAGAGCTGATGCCGGTTCTTCCCGCAGTGGTTCAGCAAGGGCAGCTGGGCGGCCGTGCTGGCGGGGGGCATGGTGAGCGGTGTGGCCGTGGCTGTGACAATGACACCTTTTGACGTGATCAGCACCCGTCTCTACAACCAGCCAGTGGATGCTGACGGCACGGTAAGGACGGTCAGGATACGGCACAGGGGACACAGCTTTTCCCGGGACTACATCCAGCAGGGGTGTGCAGCTGGCTCCTCTCTCCTCAGGGCAAGCTCTACCGGGGTTTTTTGGATTGTATCCTGCAAATATCCAGCAGAGAGGGGCTGCTGGGCTTATACAAGGGCATCGGCGCTGTCTACCTCCGCCTTGGCCCCCACACCGTCCTCAGCCTCTTCTTTTGGGACAAGCTCAGGAACATGGTGCAGCACCAGCAGCCCCCAGGGCTGTAGGACAAACTCCTGCCATTACCACCGATGTTAATAAAGAGGTTTTTCTATSTTGGGCGTCATTTCGGGGTCTTTGGGGTGGTGCAGATGGCAGGGCCAGGACCTGAAATGCTGCAATGCCTCAGGGTGGGGGTGTGGGGGTTAAAGGTGCTCGTGGTCCCTGAGCCCCTCCATGTGCATCCCATCCCTCTTCTCGTACTGATTTTCACCTCGACGGGGCAGCTGGAGCTCATCTCCTCTGATCTCCCCTGGCCAGTGCTCCAGCTGCCCTGGCTTGCCCCAATAATGATTTACTAGCCGGGAGGGCCACGCCCCGCCTCCGCCCCTCGGACCTTGGAGCCAGGGCTACGCCGTGGCTTCTCTCYGTCGAGAATGTTTTCCCTGGGGTCCTGGCTGCCGGCATTGCCCGGGCTGGCATGGGGCTGGGCACTGCTGGATGCACTCCTGCAAGGTGAGATCCTCCGAGGGTGGCCCGGGGACAGCCTGGGGACAGCCCAGGGGATGCCGGTGACCCACTGCTGCCTTTCCCCTCAGGGCTGGTCGGTGCCTGCGCTGTCTCGGTGCTCTGCAGCCTCCTGAAGGTTTATCTCTACACCCAGTGTGTGAAGTAAGCGTCGGCCCTTCGTCCCCTCTGGGGCCAGTGTTGGTTTTGGGGATCTGATTTGGGGATCTGCTGTTGGGGGCTGGCTGCTGGCACCCAGCCCCAGGGAGGGGCTGCAGCCGCTGCTGCAAAGCACAGAGGGGGATGTCACTAAGGCTGTCACCCCGTTTTGGGTGACATCCCCCCRGCTCAGCATTGCTCCCCGCTGTCCCCAGCAAGCCGGAGAGGCAGGCAGAGAAGGAGGCGATCGCATCGCAGCCGCCTCTGCTGGAGCTGCTGCACGTGCTGGTGCTGACTGCTGTCCTGGCCCTGGTGGGCTCCCGCGTGGCTGCACTCGTGGTGCTCGAGTTCTCCCTGCGTGCCCTTTCCACCGTCTTCTCCCTCAGCAAGGTGAGATGTCATGGGTGAAACTGAGGCACAGTGGGCTATGGTGGAGGTGGAGCTGGGAAATGACAGATTTGTTCAGCACCTGTGGGGGATGGAGGGGCTGTGGCGTGGAGGGGGCCATGTATCCCTTTGCATCTGAGCCAGGTGTGCCCAGGTGGGCAMGAGGCCAAYGSCCCYKGSYKGKYCYKGKKKKGG